AGGGAAATAGCATGCACAAGTGTATCAAATGTATGCAGATGTGTTAATAATACATGGTATTATACAGATAGATACTAGTAAGGCAAGTTGAAGACACAAGGCTTCCACCAGAAGATTGTGATGAAGACTGCCATGGTTCTTGGATCCTATGGCTAAGAAAACTATCTTTTCCATGGATGGAAGGTTATGAAAAATTATATGATGTGGGGTTTTTTTTCAAAACCAAAAGAAAGCTGAAGCTCATCAGTGAAGAAGACAATGGGTTCATAGCCATTTGGAGTAAGAAAACATCTGTTATCTCCATTGATGCTTTCTTAAAGAAATATGACAGGAAGTTGGCAGAAACATACTTTGATTTCCCATGGTACAAATGAATTTCCAAGAAAATGAACATATAAAAAGAAATTACATTGTCAGAAGAATGTCAAAACTCCGTGGATAATGATCTATAAATTGAACACTAAGAAAAAGAACAAATGGTAACAAAATAACCATTTGTAGAAACACTATTTTAAAATTTACAACATGCTCTAGTAGTATGTAGTTTTCTGTGTGGACTTAGGATATTTATTCTGTTTCAAGGTCACATGGTTTTAAAAAAAATGCCCTTTATTAGAAACTTTCAGTTGCTTACTTGCTCTGGAGCATGCATGCTCAATCCCTTTTTATTACTCCCTTCCCAGCTGCTCATTTTTCACATTTATCCCCCACTAACTTAGTTGCCTTAAGCAACTGCAAAACATATCTTCCACATGCAATGAATTTCTATGGAAATTAGGTCAGGCATATATATTCTTTATCATCTACAGAAAGGGATCCTTTTATCCACTGGCCGCAAAACTACTCACCTGTCTTAACTGTCAGGGCTTGGCTTTACCAATGCACCCTGTTCTTGCAAAGAGGGAAACGCAACGGCACTGGAGCAGCTCTAACTCCCTTCCAAAGTCTAATTCTCTTCAATTCTACACCCATGTAAATTCCTAGATCTCTATGAAATGATATTAACACACTTTGAATAGATACCACAGAGGTCAGGAGTCAATTAGAATATTACAGATTTTTTTCATATTAAAGACCTTTTTGACATGTTGTCAAGTCAATATTTTCTGCATACGCTGTTCCCTTGTCCTGCAGTGGACAGTAACATAGTGTTCACATGCCACGTTACCATTTCCATACCTACCACAAACATCTGCTTTCTTCAAAAATAAAAGAGATATCTAAGGTGACCATTGTAATTTAAATTATCTTTAGAACTCTCAAGAAACAGAGCTAAAAAGTAGAAGACAGAACCTCCACAGGAAAAACATCCTCTGTTTTACAGGTCTCTTCACCGAAAAGTTATCCTACCCCAATGCCTCACATGCTTTACCTAAAAAGGCACTTTCCCCCTGAAGAGCTAAGTATGCTTTCCATAGGAGGAACAGATATATTCATTCCTTGAAGAACCTGTATTGATTTAATCCAGCTCAAGATATGGTTTCTGTTAGAATGTATTTTTTTCTGCTTTCCTCCCCTCTCAAGATAACCATCCAAAAAGTACACGACTATTTGCAAGGGATGAAACTGTTGGTACTAGAATAGCAACCAGTCTTTTACAGCATGCTCCTCTTTCATGCAAATAATTTCTGAGCAAAGCCTTTGCGACTAGTTGGGGAAGCAATTTATGTCTGCAGCATTAAAAAACAAAAGCATGGTGCTTACCACGTCATCTACATCCACATGAATTTTTCTGTGCTACTGCATTTTGCAGAAAGTACTGTCTCAGCAAACTGAAAGTTTGCTTTCTGTAACCATGGTGTATAAACATAATTTGACTCATCTAGCCTATCTTAAAACAAAAGATCTAAGAAGCCAAGTATAACCACAACAACAATTAAGTTTTCAGAGAGGTATATACTAAAGGACTTACTGTGATGATTAGCCCTTTTTCCTGGAAATATTTAACCAATGGGACAGCATTCTGCTTGAAATTCATTAGTCGTCTTTGAGTGGCTTTCAGGTTATCATCAGGTCTCCCTTGCTGTTCAGCACGCTTCAGTAACCTTTCTTTCAGCCTTTGACTGGAACATGACAGAAACACCACCAAATCGGGGGTACAGATCTGTGGAAAGAGCAATTCAAGAAGTCTCTGATTAAACTGACAATCCAGCACTACAGGATTCAGTAATTCCATTATTAGGTGAGGCTCAGATACGCTACACTTCTGTATCCGAGCATATCTCACCCCAGGAACTTTCTCTAGACTATGTTCATTGTTTGCATTACCTGAAGGTTCTACTAGCTAAAATTAAAATCTGTAAAAAGAGCAAAATATAAATGTCTTGTATTCTGAGGGAAAATGGTTGTTTCCATCTAAAATGCCTTTCAATATGGTGGTATTTAAAATCCAGCAGCCTCTATGAAGCTAACTGATGCCTAGGGCCAGGTGATAACAGATCTGTTCCAAGATCCACAGTTTCCCTGTTTCTTTAAATCTCACCCAAGCTTCTTGTGCACTTTGCAAGGGGTTGGGTGTAGCAGGTAAGAGGATTTGAATTTTTCCTATCCTTTTTGGCTTGTGTGGTAAGCACTGTTTTATCTCACACCCATCCTTGCACTAAAGTTCAGGAAGTACAGCCTTAGAGCAATGAGAAAAAAAATGGGGAAGTTTAGCTCTTTCCCAGTTAAACTAAAGTTACCCTTATGGCTTTCAGTGTTCTTTTTAACTTCTGGTTACTCATGCTGTCAAACAATTATAGAAGAGATACCTCTGATGCTTGAAGGGGAGAAGCAACGATAACCCCCCCACTTTCTTAGGAATGTTGCTAAATGTTCACAGGCAATCTTCAGAGTCACCACTATTTAGTACATGTGGTGGAAAAAGAGAAGTCCCTCAGTCACCTGAATTCACAGGATCTTAAAAATGGGGCTACGTGTATTAACCATATTCCTAAGATAGGATGTTGTTCTTTCCTCTACCTGGTTGTTACAAAATTTTTAGAGACTCAGCTAAAAATCTTTTTCTCACTAGCTTAATGTTGCCTGTTAAAACACATTAGAATCCTCTGTAATAAACATCTGAGACAAAACCAAACCCTATTGTACTGTGCACGTTTTTATCTGATCAGAGAGTAGAAAGACTTTATTTGTTCTCACATACGAAGTTATTTCTACCATCTTTACTTACCTGAACAAAAAAGTTCATACTTTAATTTTAACTAATATTATTAAACTGTTAGCTTAATGTTCTAGAAATGACATAATCTAGTTATATTAAAAATGATGGTGGATGCTCAAGAATGCTAAATAGACATTTTTGTCATGATGTTTCCTTATCTACTGAATAATTTTGTCTTTGTTTGCCTTGATATTAAATTTGATAATCAAATTTGAGCTATACAAAAGTATCACCAAAACATCTACATGTATTATAACTACTACTGTGTAAAGAAGACACTGATTAATATCAGTTACTAACAAATTGCTAATGAGGGCCAGAACAAACCAATTATGCTTCTGAATAATCTCTATACCTAAGTCGCTCTACCCAGGGATGTTAAATTGCCCAGAGACAACCTTATACGAGACTGAATAGTCACAGGTGGACAATCCTGAAAATTAATAACCAAGTTTAAAAAATAAAAATCCCACCTAGCTGGGTTTTTGTCATTTAAGGGAATACAACCTGAAGTACAGTCTGGCCTTTTCTCCTGGCAGTCTAAGTGTAGAAAGGTTCTTCTGAAGTTAAAAGAAACAAATTCAACTTTCCAAAACTGGGGTGATGGTTATTAACCTTTACAGAGGAAGTCACTGACAGAATAGGATACGGAGAAGTACAAAGTGGCTAAAAAGCAGAGCCATTTTCAAACAATAAAAGATAGTCCCAGTAAGTAGCACTAGAAAGCAGGTGGGTGCCCTCTTTATGATTACAGAAAATGAGATAGGGTTTTAAAGAAAATGCAATTCTTTTTTATACGTCTTGTAGATGATTGGAGACATGGGGAAACAAACTATAGACCAAATGCCTGAAATATGAATTCCAGTAATTTTTAATATGTATCTATTAGATTTTGTAACAATTAACCTTGTCATCTGTTTAGGTTTTTTTTTTTAACTGTCAGTGGGAGAGAAGCTCTCTCCTACCTCTAACACATGTACCTCAATGTCAACAAAACCAGATTAACGTTCTCCCCCTTTTCAGACTATTTTAAATACATAATTGACAGTTATTCTGTCTTTTCATGGGATGAATTCATTGTGACAGTTAATTTTACTACCACATAATAGATTTAAGTCACATAATTATTCATATGAAAGGCTATGAAAGTAAGTTTCTGTGTTAGACTTTCATGTAATATGGACATTATTAAAAGTAGCTCTGTTAAATTAAGGATGCTTCATTAGTAGTAGAAGCATAATGAGGAATCAGAAGATGGGAATTTGAATAGCATACATTAGTAAAGAAATCCAAATTATGACACAGATTCTGAAAAAAGAAAAGGCTACAGATTTCAAAGCCTTTTAGGTGATGGAATGCTATCCCATGAAAGGGAATGGCTGGTGCATATTGCAGCGGACCGAGCACAGAGACATCTCAAGTCCCAGTGAGGATATTTGGCTGATTGGAGCTTCCTAACATACATTACACAGGGACTCAAAAATTACAACTGCAAATCAAGGGTCTAGTGAAGTGCAGGACAAAAGGAGTTTACACTAGTGAGTAGCTTTATTCAGTATTTGCATTTCTGTGGATCCTAGCAATAGTGAAGAAAGGTGGCAAGAGATTCTTAGATGCTCCAAGCTGTAGCTGGCCTTCTCACTTTCCACGCTCACTCCCAAGCATCTTCAGGACTAGCATCTCCCACATACTCAGATCTGTGAAGTCCTACCAGACCTCCTCAAACGTAGGACCTAAGCTTTTGCTTATCAGGTAACTTCACATATAGCATCAAGCCTTACAGAGAGAACTTAGAATAAATAGCGCTCTCACTCTTTTTTTAACCCTAAAGAAAAAAGAGGAAGAAGACAAAGGGAAGGTCTCCTGTTTCACACAGACATGAGAGTGCAGCTTTCCATTGTCAATCTCATTCTTTAAAGAAACTGTGGCTGAGGAGGGGCAGCCCCACAGCAAGGGAAGGATCTGAAAGCCACCCTGCTGACATTAAGGTGTGCAGATTCTCATCTGCTCAGGTCTCACAGACTGCACTGGCTTCAGAAGTTGGGTCCTTATTAAGGAATGGGAAAGCATGACATGGGCCCAATTTTTTTTTTTTTTTCAGTTGTAAAAAGAGGATAATGAGGTACAACACAGTAATTAAGGTGGAAACTTAATTAATTAGGTTTTAATTATTTCCTGTTGCTTTTTAAAAATGCAAAGTTCTCTTCAGGACCTGAGTAGTGTTGATTCTAATTTCTTCACTCACAACAGCAACCATACAAAAAACAGTATCAGAAGCCTAGGAGCTAAAACCATTTTTTCTGACACTCGGGCATTTGTAATTTGAAACACATTACACTCACAGAAATAAAATGTCAGTGAAAACAATGGTTTAACATTCTCAGTTCAAGAAGCCTAGTTTCCAGTGAAGTATTATCTAAAAGGTTTTTTGAAGTGGAAAAAAATGTCATTTAAGCATATTTGAGGTAGGAATACAATGCAGATTCTGATTATGTGATGCCTCTATGAAGTCATCTTTTACCTAGAGAATATGCATTCTATCATCAGAAAGTAGCTGAAAACCATTTAATAAACACAAACCTCTGCTTGGTTTTAGATGCACATAACGTTAACATCTCTTCTGTATCCATGGGCATACAGACCTAACTTAATATTTCTCCTACATGCATTTACAACCTTCAGGGTAAACCCTTAAACGCTATTGATATTTCACTCCTGTTTTTATGAACCACTCTGCTTCCACCTACCTCAACTGCACCTGCCTGCAAGACGTGCTTATAAATACTTAAAGCTGAAAGTAACAGGCTACTGTGAACATATGGACATCTGGGATTACTTCTCTGGAAACATATCTAGTTCTCCTATGTAAATATGAGTACAAACTGCATTTTTCTAACAAAGGAAAAGGGGTTTTTTATGACTCATTTGAAAACAAACCTATTTTTTAACTCAGAACTAACTGCTATTGAGTTTTATGACTAGGGAGTAGGTTTTATTCTGAGACTTAGCATGTAGACAAGGTGTACAGAACCAGCACAGGCAGAAGAACTTGATTTCTTCATGCTGATTTCCCATAGCATGCTTGTTCTGAAAGCAGAGGGTCTGATTAATGTCCAGAAATGCATGTGAGGAAGGACTGTGGGGCTCCGAGGAGTGAATCTGTGTACTAACTGGAACTCTGCAGAAGGGAGATTCTTTGCCTGTGGGAACAGACAGGTTTGTGGTTATTCACAATCTTCTGAATTTTAAATGAGACAAAAAGCGTATGGCATCAACTCAGAATAAAACTGGTGGGTACATCCTCTCATCTTTTAGAACAGTATTTACTAGTAAATCCTACTCTCTTTGGGTCTGAATCTCCTTCCTAAACTGCAACAAGGAGTAAATTAAGAGTAATTCCATGCAAGTCGGTGGTGTTATTGACGTAAAGCAGTATCAGTGGAAAGATGCTCTCTTTTCTCTGGGGATATTTTCTACATCTTCTCTTGCTAGTGACAATGGTGTGATTGTTTGTCAGAATTTAGGTGATTACACTCTCTCTCATTACTTCTCATTAGGCAAAAAATGAAAATGCTCTACTTCTTAATTCCTGGTATGGTCTACTAGATACTCCTGAGAAAACTTAACTGACAGCTCATGAACAACTGTCAATAATTTAACAGCGCATTTTATTCCAGCTGGTAAAGGTTACTATCAAGCTAGTTCATGTCCATTGTATGGGTGCTCTCCCTTGGAATTACTGATTTGCTTTTATAGTTCCATCTCTGCTGGGCTACTAGACTGTTTGCATAGGTTTTTCTTGTTTTAGAAATGCAAAATCGTGAATTTGTTGACCAAGAATGAAACCTGCTAACAGAAGTTTTCCTGGTTACTGCTTTTGAACAGTATTCACACTGCCCAAGAAATAGGCTTCCAGCAAATTGCCCAGACTACATAATTAGGCC